TAGGATGCCTGCTGTTGAGGGTCTTCTAAAGCTAACAAAAAAAGATGCACTGATGAAATCTCAATAAATAAGGCATCACTAATCACAGTATCACTTGACATACTTGTGAAGACGGGAAACTTCAAAAGCCCCCCACCCCACAGATGATTAATTGCTATAGGGAATTAATGGCTGCTATGAGAAAGAAAATCAGTTTTCTACAGGAATGAGCTACTTTATAGTTTATCCAATCCCAAGTAGTCAACCATAAACATAAAAACATAAGAGCATTATTAAACAAACCCCATATGCATATGCATATATATGTACTAGTAACAAATAAAATTTGTAAAGGTGTGGAGAGGGACACAAGATTTGCAGCAAAGAGAAGAGGTACAAATGATGTTCCTGTCTTGAAAAATATATTAGAAATTAAACAGAGATAGACATCTAAGTACTCATATATAAAATTCTCAAAATATAAAAACATTAAATTTAAAAATAATTACTTTTGTCTCCTTGTGTATCTGTCTTCTTTAAGGATTGTTGACAGTTTAGTTTTTGTGGTGCTCCTCTCTCTAAATGTTCCAATCATTCAAATATCATTTGTCATTTGTTTATCACAGGACAAGTGCCACATGAGCTAGGGACACAATTCATAAAGTAGGCTGGTTCCTAACCTCAGTGGGACTTAATTCATTAGCACAAGACACACATTAATAATGTGAGTATTAAAATGGCTAAGTTATGAACTAGTATGTGTATATACAAAGATGTGGAAATAAGTGTGTATATACATTCAGCTCTCCACATCCAAGTTCAGCATCTGTGGTCTGAAAAACCGGTGGGTTGAAAACAGTCCCAAAAGAAAGAGCTGAGGATATGGGTCAGTCAGTAAAGTTGCCAACATAAGGGCCTGAGGATGATCTTCAACACCTATGTAAAAAAGCTACATGTGATGCATGCATATGTAAGACCAGCCCAGGGGACACAGAGACAGCAGAGTACCAGAGGTATGTCTGGAAGTCAGTACAGCCAATGTTAGGGTAAAGGTTAGGGTTAGGGTTAGGGTTAGGGTTGGGTTAGGGTTAGGTCCACGTTCAGTGCAAGTTCCTGTCTTGAAAAATATATTAGAAATTAAACTGAGATAGACATTTAAGTCAACTTCTGCCATACACACACAATACACATGCACACATGAGATATAAACACATAGCACAATTAAAAGGAATTTCATCTAAACATATACACACAAAAGAATGCAGTAATTTAAAAGATTTGCGTCCACACCAACCTCGGTTTCCTTTTTAGTTTTCTCTGAATAATACAATTTAGCAATTTTTTTACATAAAACATATATTAGTTATTGTAAGTAAGTAAGTAACACAGAGACTTCATTAAGTATATGGGAAAATTTATTATAGGCCATGTGCAAGTACTGCATTTCAGATAGGAGGCTTAAGCATCCATGGATTTTGAAATACACATGATGTCTTAGAATCATTCCTCTGAGGACTGTGGAATGATTTAAAGAAAACCTTACATCCTTTTAGAGGCCCACCATAATTCAATGGCTATGTATTTTGAATAAATGAGCTACCAGCTAACATATATATTGAAAAGGTGAGCCACAATATTCAAAAAGTAGTATTACTCTTATATTTCAAATCAATAAATAAAACTATGTTTTATAGAATGAAAATTTACATTCCTCTAAACAGTGTGAGGACAGTATTTTCTGTGTGTTTTGGCAGCATGTCTGTGCATCAAGTGTGTGCCTGGTACACATGGAGGCATAAAAGGAGCTAGTTCTATGAACTGTTGTTAGTTGGTATGGTAACTGTGGGAACTGAATCCAGGTCCTCTGGGAGAACAGCCTGTGCTGAGCCATCTCTCCAGCCCCTAAGAGAATCATTTAGTGTTTAATTGTAAAAAAACTATAGCATTTCTGGAATACATGCGAGAAATTTTAGGTTTTGTTTTTTAAGATTTATTCTAAGTGGAGTGGTGGTGGTGCACACCTTTGATCCCAACACTGGGGAGGCAGAGGCAGGTGGATCTCTGTGAATTTAAGGCCAGCATGATTGACAGAGTGGGTTCTAGGACAGTCAGGGCTATGACACAGAGAAACCCTGTCTGAGGAGAGAGACAAAAACAAACAAAAGGATTTGTTTTAATTTTATATGTATGAATTGAGCAGTCTTCATCCCTACATGCATGTCTGCTCTCCATGTGCAGTGCCCACAGAAGCCAGAAAAGAGCACCGTATCTTATGGACCTGTAGTCATAAAGTTATTAGCACCCATGTGGATGCTAAGAACTCAACCAGAGCTTCTGCAAGAGCATCAAATGCTCTTAGCTGCTGAGACATCTAACCAGCTCAGAAAAATGTTTATTTTTGCCCTAAATTTTAGTCTAGTAAAACTTGACTAATAATTACAAGAGGATAAAGGAAAGAGCTCAATAACAGAGTGTTCAACCCACAAAGAAAATAAAAACAAAAATCAGATAAAACAAAAGCAGATGGAAATGGCAAGTACACACACAACTTTAAAAGAGAAATACCCATCAAGTAAACCATGATTCAACTTGAAAAAAAAAAAAAAGTAAGAAATGTATTTATTATTCTTAATATATGTACTTTGATGTGCCAACCCCCACACATCTGCTCAGTTAGAACTGTTACCCTGCATGCTCTTTAGGAGTCCCTGTACTCCACACCCATGCCTGTGAACACAAAGGTAACAAAGTTTTCTTCAACAGCCTGTAGGCTCACAAAATTGAACCTGCTCTTTTATCTGCCTGTGCTCATTTAGCCCACCAAGCAGTCTTTATTAAAGCTGCGACATCAGGCAGTCAAAGTTCATTAATACCATTTATATAATCTCTGCAATTTCAATTAACTCAGCAAGACATTCTACTACATGATAACAGTCTCATTAATTCAATAAAATCCCATAACTATTAACAATATGGTCGATGTTAAACGGGGTGTCACCTAGTACAAAATAATAGCTTTAACAGCTTGTGATGAAACTGAAGGCTTTTTCCCCTTAAATTTGATACTGCTAAATATGCAGTCATTCTTCAGCAAGGTATTATTTCTCCGTAAGAATTTAACACGTAGAGGGGGTAATCAAGTCTTTTAAAGTGAAACCCAGGTATGTCAACACTTTTATATTCACTAATTGATAGGTTTGTTTTAACTTATCTAGAAATAGTATCTTCCATAATCCTATCTAGTCTTGCCTATAAATACACTGGTCTACATACATCAAATGATTGAATATGATGATACATTATTTTCTCTGTGCAGAAATTGTTTCCATTATTATAGACTTCTTTGATTTAGTTTTGTCTTTTTCTAAAGGGAACTGAAGACAGAGACTGAAGAAGACACTAGAAGATGGAAAGACCATTCCCCCCATGATCATGAACTAGTGGAATTGATATTATAAAAATGACCATCCAATCAAAAGTAATTTATAGATTCAATGTAATCTTTATCAAAATACCCATAAATCATAAAATTCAAACAGAAGCATAAAAAACCCATAGCCAAAGTAATCCTGAACAAAGCAATGTGAGAAAACCTGTGTTAGATTTCAAGCCATACTATGACAGTATAGTATATACTGTTACAGTAAATGAAAATAGTGTGGCATAGCACAAAATTAGACCTGGAGATCAAGAGGACAAGTAGAAGACCCAAACAGGAGCACTGCAACCTGGGTCCTCTTCATTTTGAGACACTAAATGGGAAAGAACTATGGCAAGTTTTAATATATAAGACACATATCTCAGACTATCACTGAGATAATACAGATATTTTGAAAGAAGAAACATTTGTATTTAAAATTTTCCACTGAAAAACATACTATTTTTCTACTTGTTTATTTATCACTTTATTATCAAATATATCTGCAGATATTTGAATGAGATACATGCATATTTTCCATTTAAATTCTAAATGGCTACTGATGGGAAGTAACTAATATGGACATAAGCGATGGAGTCAAGCCTTGCTTGTGAGCAGTAACAAAGACAGTTTTTAATACACTGGAATCTGGCTCTGCCAGATTAAAAACTTGTAAAGTTTATTTCTGCATCAATATTCCTTTCGCCATAGTTATTTTCTATACAAGCTACAACTTGTATAGCTACATCAACTAGATGTAACTTTTGATTGTTCTGAATTTAGTTTGAATTCTTATATATATATACTTAGTAAATGAAAATCCTCAAGTATATATATGTGTACAGTACAATATAATAAACTTAAATAAGAAATGTATATGTATTTATATATTAAATTATTTATATTTCAAAAAATTAAAATGATCTAGTAATCTTTAGTAATGAAATGAGTCAAAAGGCAGGGGCACAAGAATTTAGTTAAGAATCTTTAAAACTTAAAACAAATTGCAGAACCTTTCTCAAATTCTACTAAGGGTACACTTCAGAGGCACAGAACACTTGATTACTTTTAACATGATGTCACATACTAATAACTGCTATACTTAGAAACAACACTTATTCCAGGCCATGGTGGTGTACGCCTTTAATCCCAGCACTCAGGAGGCACAGGCAGGCAGATCTCTGTGAGTTCAAGGCCAGTCTGGTCTACAGAGTGAGTTCCAGGACAACCTCCCATGCCACAAAGAAATCCTGTCTCGGAAAACAACAAGAAGAACAACAAGAACAAAACAAAATAGAAAAAGAAACAATATTTACAAATAACTCTGAAAAGTTTTATTACTAAAGTAGCTGCAAAGATGGGGTTCATTTATGAGCTCCACAAGTGTACAGGGAAGAGCAGACACCACAGGGGACATCCTGTCTCACAAAGAGGAACGCGTGTTTCAGTGTGCACTCTGGGTCTCTCCATCTGGCAAGCAGTGCTGCTTTAACATTGTGATAGCACTCTGGATAGAACAAAGGGCGCATTATTGTCCTGTCATCTGTGGAGCTGTATGGATACCCTCAGTCAATGGGTGCCACCTGTAAGGTATTTTCATTACCTGTTTATAAAGCAACTGCTCATTTTCTCTCGCATAACAGAACAGAACATCTGTAAGAATTTTTCTCACATTTTCTTGCTGGAAAAACTGCATTTCAGGGAATCTGAAAAGAAAAAAAAAAAAAAATGAACACATATTGAATCTAACTAGGAGTCCCAGTAACATCCCCAGACTCCCATCTCTAAAAGGTTTCAAGATCTGTAGAGTATTTCACCTCAGTTCTGATCAGCTATGACAAGAATTAAACAGGGGCAATAAAGGGAGAGAAATCCATTAAATTCCACAGGCACAAGACACCCTTCAACAGATAAACATTTCATTTTTTATATATGTCATGTAGGAATTATAGTGAGAAGTTAATTTGTTTTTAGCCTGTTTGTAGGGGGTTGTGTATCTTTCAGAACTGCCTGGTCTTACTAACTAGCCTAGATTAGGGTGGAAACAGTGATCCTCCTGTCTCAGTTCCGCGGGTACTATAATTACAGGTGTATGTTACCATGTCCAATCACCCCACTTGGTATTTTGAAAATATGTCATTGTCACTATTTTTCTTGGTATCAGGATTTCAACTGTATATTACAGTACCATCAGTGTCATCAGATTAAAATGTAGAATTAAATGGAACACACATAAGTAAGCCTTGACTAAATGTCTCTGTATAAAACACTGCACAGGGTTCTTTGATATACTGTCACATAGAAAAGGTGGGTGGATAATCTGCTTGAGAAGAGTTCAAGAAGTCATCAGAGATGGACGGTGTAAAACTGAAACAAACCAATGAGCAATGCGCTACAATGTAAGGGCTGGAGGCAGGTCACTGAGAAGTGCCAACTGGGTTCAGTCAACAATTTGTGAAGAAGAACACGGAACATTAGTGTGAAAGGCAACTAAGCGAGACAGAAGGGTAAGAAGGCAAAGGAGGCCGTCAGCGGATCAAACAGAGTAAGTGGAATTGAGAAGAGAAAAGGAAATAGTAGCAGATGGGGCCATGGCTTTGGTAGAGGAGAACAGGTGGGACAAGTTTAGAAAGAGGTGTAACCGAGTTTATAACTGAGTAACACAATTCAGCAAATCCTCATTATTTATTAGAGAGGTGGTAAAGACTATAGGCAAGACTAAGCCTGAAGGGTGCATCAGGAAAAGGATGTGAAGAAATGAAAAACTCACAAATCCAAGTAGAAAAGCCTGTGCTAAAATTCATATTGTCAAATTTCCAGCTGAAGCAAGGATGGCTTAGCGCAGCAGAGTTGTTTATCTTCTGAATAAGAGGAGAAGAGCATGGAGGACAGGCTGTCACCACTACCTAGAGCCTAGAGGACAGGCTGTCACCACTACCTAGAGCCTGGAGGACAGGCTGTCACCACTATCTAGAGCCTAGAGGACAGGCTGTCACCACTACCTAGAGCCTAGAGGACAGGCTGTCACCACTACCTAGAGCCTGGAGGGCTGCCTACCTGGAGCCTAGAGGACAGGCTGTCACCACTACCGGGGCCCCGCGGGGGGCGCCCCCCCCCGGGGCCCCCGGGGGGGGCCCCCGGGCGGGGGGGGGGCGCCACCACCCCCGGGGGCGGGGGGGGGGGGCCGCCCCCCCCCCCGGGCCGGGGGGGCGGGCTGCCCCCACCACCTGGCGCCTAGAGGACAGGCTGTCACCACTACCTAGAGCCTGGAGGACAGGCTGTCACCACTACCTAGAGCCTGGAGGACAGGCTGTCACCACTACCTGGAGCATGGACACAGAAGGCATTAATGAAATGGCTAGTACTCTTCAGTAGTCTTTAAAGACAAGTAACATCTGAGTACTCCGTTTTACTGGAGCTTACTGCTTTCTTTTGGAGACCGTGGCTGTGCTGTGCTTCATAGGCATCATATGCTTACAGCTGAACTGTGTTAAGCGTCAAGGAGGAGTAATTTTTCAGATCCTATTTCTTATATAATTGAAGCAATTTCTTCTGAGTTTGTGTGACTTTTCTTAAATTTCCTTTGATGTGCAGGTGTGCCTAGACTCAGGTTTTGGTGTTCTACCTTAGCAGCAAGGGAACCTCTTTGAGGTCCGGGAAGCAACAAGAATATGTGGAAGGTGAACTCACATCTGTGCACAAACCTTACTGGGGCAACCGTCCAGGTGCCCCATCTCCCCATTTGACCTGCAGCCAGCAATCAGGATAAAGGATCGATACTCGATATACACGATTAACGAAGTACACTGCTACTCTTAGAAAACTGCTACTGTTAGAGAAACATCCATTAAGGGAAGACTAGAACGCTACATTTTAGTGAGGAAATCTCTGTGCCTGTCCCCTTGCTTGTGACTTAATCTTATTTCAGTTGTTAAAGTAGATGCAGGAAAAATTTGAATCAGTGGGCTCAACAATTTTGAATACTACTTTTTTGGTTATTACTTGGAAATGTTCTATGCACACTGACAAAAGTAAGTACTGTTGGGGTGTTGTAATACAATGATCATAGAAAAACAATGAAAACTGTTATACTTTGCCTCATGTCTATGAATTATGTATATAGTGTTTGCCATCTAAATATGAAAAATTAAATTACATTGTATACAATTCATGGTTTCATTGAAAGGCATACTAATCACTTGGGAGATTAAAAGTGAGAGAGCCACAAGAATTAAAATTCAGATAGAGAATTTGAATTGTTCATTTTTAGTAAAAATCAACCAACTGAAAATGCGTTAGGCAGCAGCATGCACACTTCTGCTCTCCAATGTTCATGCGCCCATTCATGACACTTCATGTTACCCTATATATTTTATTTTTTTAAGAAGTATAACTTGCTGAAACCACAGCATGGAGTAACTGAGGAAGGTATTACAGGAGAATTCGAAAAGGAAACACTAGTACGTACTCTTTCATAAATTAGAAAAAGAAATGATCTTCACATGAGGAACCTAGAGAAATTAGTAATGGCCAGTACATGTGGGCAGTCAGCACAGCAGCAGCACTCGGCCCCTTTATCGCTGTGGTTAAAAGGAAGCCTGAGAAATGCACTCCCAGGAAAAGGTTTGTGATATGAGATTCACAGGAAGAAGAACTAAGTTCAGAATGTTGACCTACAAGAAATACTTGCCGTACAATCAATACACAAGCCGAGAGACACTGTATTTATAGGAACAGACAGAGGAGAGCAGGCACAGAGAGAGACTCTTCTAGGAATAGGCATTATCACCTTCTGTGGAAAGCTCTAAAATTCAGGACAGCCTCTAGCTCTTCTGTCCTGAAAATTCCAGATATCCATGCAGATTAGTTCAGATTTGGGATGGGTAAAATAGTTTCAAAATCAGTGTGGTTCGGCAACCCATGCCAGAAAAATGTTCCTGATTGAGAGAGAGAGAAAAAAAAAAAAAAAAAAAAAAAAAACCCAAAATTGAAACAAAAAATCAAGTAGGAAAATAGGAGGGAAGAAAATCCACAATATAAATAGGAGCAGAGACAAATTTATTTATTTATTTATTTATTTATTTATTTATTTAGGTTTTTCGAGACGGGGTTTCTCTAAGTAGTTTTGGAGCCTCTCTTGGCAACTGCTCTGTAGACCAGGCTGGCCTTGAACTCACCAGAGATCAGACTGCCTCTCTTCCCAAGTGCTGGGATTAAAGGCATGTGCCACCACTGTCTGGCAACAAATTTAATTATTATATAAATGAAAAACATCACTTTTATACTTGGCCAGAAAATTAAAATAGAATTGTTTGACATTTTTGTAATACTACTCAAAGAAATCTATATGATTAATGCAATCCTCATATGAACCCCCCATGTCATTTATGACAGGCATAAGAAATCACATATACAAGCCCAGGAGGGCTGAAGACAGCCACAGGCCTGCCTTTGGCAGGTGTCTCCATGGAGAACAGGTGTATGGTGGACAAATGGGAGAGAGTGGGGTGGTTTGAGCACCGTGGAGGAAAGCAGAGCTGCAGATGCCTGGCTGGTGAGGAGCAGGCTGCTATGGGTGGCCTACGCTGCCACAGGCAGCGGGGGTGTGGGGGAGTGTGGGGGAAAAGTGACGTCCAGGCCTGAGCTGTGACTGAAGGCCATGTCTGGGTCTGTGGTACTACCCAGCTGGGGTCTGTGTTTGTGTCTGTGGCCCATGTTACTATGGGGGCCATAGGAGAGCTGGCCCTGATGGCCTGGGCACAGGAGAACTTGTCCCACCCTTTGCTGGCTGCCACAGTGGGAGAGCTGGCCACAACCATCTACGCCCCCCTACCCCAAGCTGCTGTAATGTGAGAGCTGGCCCTGAACACAGTAGAGCTGGATGCACCCCTCACCATGAACATGGGAGAGATGGCCCTGATCCTCACAGGAGGGGGACAGTCCTGGTAGCCCCTGACTGAAAAACTCAGCCACCACCCAGGGCTTTGAGTTTCCCACTCTGATATTTACCCCATCTATGACCTGCAAGAGCATGTAAAGTGACGGTCCTGTGGGACCAGGCCACAGGACCTCCATGACTAAACTCAGGACAACAGCGTGTGGGACCAGGCCACAGGACCCCCATGACTAAACTCAGGGCAACAGCGTGTGGGACCAGGCCACAGGACCCCCATGACTAAACTCAGGGCAACAGCGTGTGGGACCAGGCCACAGGACCCCCATGACTAAACTCAGGGCAACAGCGTGTGGGACCATGACCACAGGACCTCCATGACTAAACTCAGGGCAACACAGGCTTGCTGAGTGAAGTTTTGGTGAGCGTCCAGTACTGATGATGTATCAGAAGCCTGGAACCAGACCAATAACTCATTGCAATGAACATTACAGGTACAAGTGTTTGGGTACTGTGTGACACACTGTCATTCCCAAGGCCACTATGACAAATGATGTGATGGAGAGGCAGGGAAGATGGAAAAGTGAAATGTTTTTCTTTTCTTTCCTTTTTTTAAAGCAACTTTCTTTTGTGGGAGCTACAAGGGTAAATGAGGGTATTAAAAGATTGAAATGAGTGGGATGGGAGTATACAATCTGAAATTTCCAGAGTCAATAAAAATTATTAAATAAAACAGAAAGAAACCTATTTAGCCACAGACTAATCAAAATAGACAAGATGATCATGAGCAAACACTACATTTATCACACCAGA